CCCCCCACCCCCTAGCCAGCCGGTGAAGCTGGGGACCTGGCGGCCGCCCAGCAGGGGTATCCTGGGTGACTCTCACACAGGCACCCAGGCCCAGGCAAGGAGCTGCCAGGAAACTCCACAGGCTCCGGGCAGACCTGTTCCAGAAGCATCCCGCAATCCCGCCAGACATCAGCCATCCAGAGCAATATTGAACAGATCACAGAGAAACCGAAGATAATCCCCAAGTCCGCCCAGAACTGTGGCCACCTGTCACCACTACCAAATATTGGAGTCGATAACTGGGAGCTAAGTCGGCAGCTTGGAGGCCCCCCTCCTCTGGGCCCCTTCCCGCCCCCACCCCCAGCCGCGGGATGGAGGAAGGGCCCTGGGTGGGTGGGCACTGGCTGCGTGATTGGAACCAGCTTCCACTCACCAGTCCTCTGAGCAGACGGGAAACCCTTGCCACCTGAAACCCCCCGGCCCCCATGGCCTCTGACGCCCACTGAAGCCAGAGTGGTCCCCACTGCCCCGAAGCCTCTGGAGCCAGCAGGATCAGCCACTCAGCACATATCCTCCAGGCGTAATTGGATGTGATGGAACCAGGGCTTTTCAGCTCCTGAGTGGAAGTCTCTGGATGTCATTTAATGGCACAAAAAATAAAAGGCTAAGGCCTCCCGCCTACCACCACCAGGACATCATTAATCTCGGCAGAAAGGCATCAGCGCTTCTATCAATGCCGCCAGCCCTGCGACGGACCAGACAAATTGCAGGCCTCAGCCGGCCCTCCGTGGGGCGGTTATTAGGCCGGAGTGGAATTTGTGTTTTTTTCTTCAGGGCCACTGTCCCCTGACAAGAGGCAGCGGTGCCCCTGCCCAAGGGGAGAGTGGAGCAAGGCCGGGGAAGAGGGCAGTCACCCTGGTGAGATGCAGGTCACCTGCCCAGGGGGACAGGGCCATTCAAGGAGGTGTCCCGTCCTTACAGAAACTGCCCCAGGGAAGGAAGCCGACCTCAGGGACTCCTGAGTGGGGACCAGGAGGAGAAAGGAGCTGGGTGTCCCCTCCCTCAGCTTTCCTCTGCCACTTCCAGGCTAAGAGCGAAACACTCAGGGTCCACCGAGGACCAAGTGACAAGTCAGGTGGGAAATGTCCCTTGGCAGGAGGAGGGTCACCCAGGAAGCGCTGTCCTATCCTGTTGGGACATCTTAAGAGTGGGCCTGCCGAACGGAATCAGGGGTGTCGCTGGAGGCAGGGCCTGTCTTCCAGGGACCCAGACTGTGAAGTCGAAGTCGTGCTGCTGGCCAAGGCCACCTTGTGAAAGGCCTGCTTGTTATTCGTCCAGTGTTAATTGTGTGATGTTAGAAACAGCCCCCCCATGCCTGGCAGAGGCCCCAGAAGGTGTTAAGAGGCCTATACGGGGGTCCGAGCTCGGAGCTTGCACGTTCTAGCCAAGGAGCTGTCCACGCCGTCTCCCAAGTCCTGCACGGGGGCCGGGGACTGGGCGAGGTGAAGCGTCACTCTCTCAGTCTCTTAGCCGCCTCTTTAGCCCTCACAGCCCAGTGGAACTGTCCAGTCGCAAGTGGTAAACCACGCCAAGTGGCAGAAAGCCGCCCCTGCAGATTTGGGAAGCTAGGGGTGGACAGGGTGACTCTTAAGACCTGCCCCAGGGCCATTCGCAAACATTCCTTCTGTCGTCCAGTCCCTGGGACTGGAGCTCTGAGGGGGAGCCCCTTTCCCAGCTGCTGAGGACAGGGGACATTCATCCCCCCTCGTGTCTAGAAGGAGGTCAGGTACACGGTGCAGCTCAGAACCTCCGAAGGCTTCAGATAAGGTCACCTGCCTCTCCCTGGGCCCCGTCTGGCACATCTCTGTCACCTGACATCTCTCATCTCACCACTTCCTCATCAGCACTGGGCAGTTAGTGAGAGAATGGCCTGTAGGCAGGGCCGCTGCGTCTGGTTATGCGGATGGGAACAGCGCCCCCTATGGTTGTGCAGGGACCAACATGCACATCGTAGGGGCAGTCCACCCTGAGACCAGGCTTCAGAGCCCCAGCCAGGCAGCCCAGGAGACACAGCAGACAGCTTCCTCCTCCCACCACAGGCCTCTGAAGTGTGCATACCGCCCCTCCCCTCGTCCCAGGAAGAGCCCAGCCTGGGTGGGTCCAGGGTACAAGTGTAGCAGCTGGAACACAGACAGCAGCACCGCCCTCTTCCTGCATGGCAGCGGGCTCTGCAGCTCGGGGACAGAGCAGTGCCATACAGGAAGGGGCTTTCCTCCAAGCCATGACCACAGAAGCCACAGCCTCCCAGCTCCCCATCTCTCCCCACACACCCCTGAGGGCCTGACTCACCCCTCTTCCTTCTAGAACTTGCATGGGGTCAGTTCCTCCTGCCCTCTGCGGCAGGAAACAGGGGGTGTAAGGGGTCACTGCCAAGCCAGCAGAGGAGGTGGCGGGAGGCCGGCCGGCACAGGGCTGGGTTTCAGGAGCTGCCTGAGGAGCCCGAGAACCACAGGGTTGTTGGAAATGGCAGCAGGAAGGAGCCATGAGGCCCCCAGGACATTGCAAACTCAGAGGCTCAGAGCAGGTCTCTCAGAGCACAGGGGATTTCTTTCCGCCAGCTTGCTCTGGTCCCGTGACAGGTTTCAATTCCCTCCTTGCCACCCAGGTTCCTTCCTGCCCTACTCGGTGGGGAAGGCCCCCTTGTCCCCGTGCCTGCCACACACCAATTCACCCACGAGCCCTTTTCCTGGCATGTGCACGCACACACACACACACACACACACAAGCATGCACACATGGGCATACACATGTGCATGCACACACACACACAAGCATGCACACATGGGCATACACAAGTGCACACGCACACACACATGCACACACACGCTTTCCCAGGCTCATGACACCCCAGTTCCTTTCCAGCCAGCCAGGCCCCCAGGGTGCAGAGGCTCCAGCCAGGCACGGTGCCTCAGAAAGGACACGAAGCCTGCTGGTGGGACCCCACTGCTGTCAGTACACCATCCAACAGGACAGGCTCTGCCAGCGCTTCAGCCACCCTTTCTGCACGAGAACTCCGGAACCCCGCATCTTCCAGCCCTGCTAGGCGCAGTGGGAGCCTGCACTCTCAGATAGGATTTGAGGGAACCCATCCCTGCCCCCGTGCCTCTGCCATCCCATCTGTGAACTGGGGAGAGTGAGGGTTCCCCCTTGCTGGGAGCGGAGGGAGGGTAGAGTGAATTAATATGTGTAGAGCTCCTAGAACAGTGCCTGGCATGCAGGAGGACTGTCATAGGTGTGTTATTGCTATTATTAACGTTATTATTATTTTTGCGTTATTGTTATCGTGGTTTTGGTCTTTGGATTAAAAATTGTCCTCTCCTTGAGGATATCTTTGAAATGCCCACAGCCTCTGGGAGGGAGGAATGCCCCAATGGGCTTGCCATTGTCATGAAAAGGGTGGCGAGTGCAGAAGGAAGATGACAGGTGGGGGGGCGGGTGGTCCGGGAGTCCCTGGGGAGGCTCTGAGAGGAACTCTAGGCAACCAGCCCCTTGCCCTTTTCTGACTGGGTATCAGAGATGACTGGCCTCTGTTGGTGTCGAGGGCACAGTGGCCACTGCCTTGCTCTGCTCTGGGCAAGCTCTTCCCCAGGCACTCTCTCCACCCAGGGAAGGTTGCTGGATTTAGCAAAAAAAAGAACAACAACAAAAAAAAAATGCAGGGTGCCTAGTTAAATTTGAATTCCAGGCCAGGAACAGTGGCTCACCCCTGTAATCCCAGCACTTTGAGAGGCCAGGGCAGGAGGATCACTTGAGGTGAGGAATTCAAGACCAACCTAGGCAACACAGCAAGACCCCATCTCTACAAAAAAAATGTAAAAATAAACAAATTAGTTGGGCATGGTGTGTGCACCTGTAGTCTCAGCTGCTCAGGAGGGAGGCTGAGGCAGGAGGATCGCTTGAGCACAGGAATTCGAGGTTACAGTGAGCTATGATCACACCACTGCCCTCCAGCCTGGGTGACAGAATGAGATCCTGTCTCAAAACAAGCAAACAAAACAAAAAAATTAACAAATAAATTTGAATTCCAATAAACAACAAAAAAAATTTTAGTATAAGTATGCAGTATGTGGGACGCACTTACCCAACAAACTATTTGTTGTTTATCTGAAACTCAGATTTAACGCGACGTCCTGCATTTCTTGGCAGCCATCTTCCCAGGGTGCCTGAGGCCCGGGGTTTGGGAAACAAGAGCGTGGGAATATGCCTCCGACCACTTCCCTCAGCCTCTCGTCATGCCCTGGGCTGTGCCCTCCTTGCCCTGCCACGAGGCCTGTTCACACTTGCCCCAAAAGATGTGGCCTCCCCCAACACGCCTGTGCCTTCTCCCCCTGAGGAGGAAGCCCTCCAACCCGGACGCTGACTGGGCTTCTCCAGACCCCAGCTCCCCCGCCAGCCCCCAGGGCTGCACCTCCACCTGCGCCGCAGGGAGGGAGGCCCGCTGCACGGGCTTCCCTGAGACTGGGACGGGGCGATGGCTGGGGCTGGGGGAGAAGATTGAGAGAAGAGTACAGAGAACAGCCAGTCTCGGCCCCAGCAGCTGGGGTGACCAGGCATGAAGGAAACAAGCATTAAAGCCTCAGTCATGGGGTGGGGGGCGTGGAGGAAGGGGCAGCCCACCTGACCGGGAGCTTCCTTTCTGCATGAGTGAGAAGGCGGAGGTATGGTAAGTGCAGGGCACGGGGAAGGACGCCCAAGGCATCCTTGACTGCTCTGGGCTCTCAGTCCCCGTTGTCCTCCAGGGAGCGGGCAACTCTGCCACTGCTCAGGGGCTCTGCTGACATCCAGGGGCTGCCTCTGCAGCAGAAGCCAGAGTCGCCCCCAGGCACTGTGCCCCCCACAGCCGGGGGGCTGAGGGCGTCACCTGCTGTCTCCACGCCCCCGGAGCCAGCCGGCTCTGGCCTCTGGCAGCGCTCACGTCCACGGCTCTCTAACCACTCCCTGTGGTCTGTTCGTCCTTTCAGGCTCTTGGAAAATGGACGACTTTCTGAAGCGCTTCCATCTGAGTGAACCTGAAGCGAGCACCCAGTTCATGACCCAGAACTACGAGGACTCGCTCCCAGGCTCCCCCCAGGCTCCCAGAGGCGGGAACTGTAAGTCCAAGAACCTGCGCAAACAGAGATAACTGCCCCCGAGGCTGCAGGCTCCACCTTCCAGGCGTGTGTCCACACTGCCCACCACCGAGGGTCTGGGGCCGCAACCCCCTCTCAGTATAGAACCCCTTCTCTTCCAAATTAAAAAGAAATCATCCAGGGCTTGGTGTTTTGCTTCCTAACCTGTATTCCTTTGAAAACCAATAAGAGGAAACGGACCAATGTCCAGCATTGGGGACCAGGGCTTCCCCGTCAGTGCAAGTGGGCGGGGGAGGGTGGTGGGCCAGGTGGACGGGAAGGAGGTGGGGATCCCTAGGCCCAAGCTGTCACGAAGTCGCTGTGTGACCTCAGGCACATTGCTTATCCCCTCTGAAGTTCTGCTTCCTCAGCTGTGTCACTTTTAAGGCAGGAAGGAGCGGTAGAGGGCTGTTGTTGTATTGTCACGGACCTTTCCAGCTCCGACATTCAACACCTTTCATTCAGCGAATATTGTTGGCACCTGCCGTGTGCCTGGCCTTCTGCTAGGCGCTGGGGTCGCACGGGTGGGCGAGGAGGACAGGGCAAACACGGCATGGTACCTGCCTCGTGGATCTCCCAGGGGAGGGAGAGGTCCATCGAAAGCCACAAGCAAATTACAACGAATTGAGATGAGTGCCGTGAGGGCAAAGGGGACCCGGCTGCTGACGGAGAGGGAGGGATGAAGGCGGGGCAGGGCCTCCCGGAGGAAGTGGTCTTTTCCTTCAGAGCTGAAAAGCGGGGTAGAGGTTAGCTAGTCAGTGGAGACAGGGATACAGAACATTCCAAAACTCCTCCAAGCTGCTGTGGCTGGCAGGGCCACGTGTGGCATCCTCTCGGAAATGGAAGCCCAGCAGTGTGGCTGCAGCGAAGTATGCAAGGGAGGGAACGGGTGGACAGGTGGGCTTTGTCACCATAACAAAGGTTTGGATTGTATCCCGAAAGCAGTGGGAAATCACTGGATGACAACTAGATTGGAGGGGCAGGTGACATAATCAGGTGTACGCTTTCAGAAAGCTACGAAGAGATTGCTTGGTATCCTCAAGGAAAGGATTCAGCATCTAACTTCCCTGGACTTCCTGCGAAGGCCTCTTGCCTTTCCCACCCAAGGACCCCCTGGAGACCCCTCTCTGCTACAGCCTCATTCACAACCTGCACCGTGGGTCCTCAGACCCCCCCACACCCCCTTCAGCTGAGTTTCCCTCCGAGAGTTAATAAGCCCCCTCTCCTTGGCGAGGGTGCAGCAACGTTGGTGACTCACGTGTGCAAAGTGCTTTGAGATCCCCAGATGAAAGGAACAGCTGCAGCTGGGCACACGGTTATTACCTTCTTAGAGTCATGCCACACTTGAGCTGAAAGGCGGGGGAGGCCCTGGCTGACCCCTCGGCACACCTTTAAGTAGCTGGACAGTTCTTTTTTGTGGCGGGGATCTGAAGAACACAATGGGGTGGGAGATGGAGTTTGCAAAGGGGGGGATGGGAAGATGCCCCCATCACTGGGAGATTCAGCTCCTGGCCCAGGTGGTGGGTACCCAATACTTGTGTTCCAGAAGGGCATTCGATGCCAGCCCAAGGCAAGAGGAAGCTGAGGCAGGAGGGACTATTGGGCCTCCCCACTCCCTTCCAACCCGCCAGGCAAGCCTGCAAGCAGCCCTCAAGTGAGAAGCAAAAGGAACTGTCCATTTGCAGTGGCACAGAAGGCAGTCTCAGAGGGGCCCTCCGGTCCCCTGCTCCCTGGGACCTTCTCCCCGCAGTCCCCCACCCCACCAGGCCAGAGTGTAATTGGCAGCTCCGGTTAGTGCCCAGGGCCAGGATAAATAGACGGTCAGCTTCCTAGAGCAGCCCCAAATCGGGACACATCCTCCCCTCTTCTGCTTTTAATTCCTTGTGGCGAGCATGTTTATTTTGGGTGAGGAAAAAAAATCGGATGTTTATCCTTCGAGGAAATTATCGGCTTGCATGCTTTCCTTCCCCCACCACCCTCCTTTCTTTTGACCTGGTGTTTTGGGCTTTCAGTTCAGCTGCCAGAGAGCCCCCCACCCTCCTGGCCCCAAAACGTGAAAAAAGAACAAAGCCGGCCCAGGCTCTAGGCAGAAGCCAGCCCTGCCAGGCGATCCCTGGAAACCACAGAGAAGGAGGTCCCAGTGGCAGAGAGGGGAAACCTGGAGGCCGAGGGGACCTTGGGGAAAATCCAGCCTTGACTCAGCTTTCTGCCTTCAGAACTCTTTGGGCCTCTCCTCCCTTCTCTTTGCTCTGCCTCATCCAGGGAGAAACAACGTGGACATGTCGATTGCTTTTCGATCTCTAATGAAGCAGCCAAGGAAACTATAAGGGAGGATAAAGAGAACTGACATTATTGTCATCATCGTCCTATGCAGATGCCATTTACTGAGCACTTCTTGTATACTAGGCACTGCGCCAAATGCTTGCCACGTGCTGTCTCATTTCATGCATGTCCACACTGCTTCGCGGCCTTCTGGGGGGCCTTCGTACGCGTTCTCTCACTTGATTGTCACAACAACCTAACAGTGTAGGAGCTATTCTCATTGTGTAGATGAGGAAACTGAGATTCCCACAAGTCAAAGAACCTCCACCCTGTTCCATAACTAGAGATGGTGGAATCAGGTGTTAACTCCAGCCTTCTCCTGTGTAGTATCTAGAGGTAAACAATACTCTTAATGTTACTCTCTGGAGTATCTAAAATAAAGGCAGATCTTCTATGTATTCAGGAGCTGGAGAGGGCCAAAGAGGGAAGGCTGGAAGTTCCAGAAGCATTTAAGGGTAATCTTCCCCAAGTGTCTTTCCTTCCCCTGGATTAAGCCATCCTGGACCAAATGCGCTTTGTGGGGAGGGCCAGGGCTCCTGAATACTCAAGGCAACAGCCCGGCCTAGCCCAAGGCCATTACCATCCCTTCCCACCTGCCCAAGGCCACTACTCCAACAGTTTGCCACCCTCAGTCCATTGAATCACCGCTCCCTCCCCACCATGCCTGTGTGATGACTTCTCTTAGGTAAGGAAGAGAGGTTAGAAAAGGAGGGAAAGCCACTAGGAAGACTCGGTGATGATGATGGCGGCGGCGGTGGTGCGTGCAGGTGTTAGGGCTGAGCGGCCATGGGATAGGAAGAAAGCCTAGTATATGCATTACATGGTATAGTTTTAAAAGCGCAAGTTTTCTAGGCTGAGCGTGGTGGCTCATGCCTATAATCCCAGCATTTTGGGAGGCTGAGGCAGGAGGATCGCTTGAGGCCAGGAGTTCAAGACCGGCCTGGGCAATATAGTGAGACCCCAGCCCTACAAAAATAAGAAAAATTAGTGGAGTGTGGTGGTGCACGCCTGTAGTCCCAGCTATTCAGGAGGCTAAGGCAGGAGGATCGCTTGAGCCCAGGAATTCAAGGCTGCAGTGAACTATGATCACACCACTGCACGCCAGCCTGGGTGACAGAGCAAGATCCTATCTCTTAAAAATTAGTAAAAGCACAAGTTTTCTTACTGAGCTGACCTAAATTCACATAGAATTTCTACCACTTGATAGCCCCGTGACCTCAGCAACTGTTCCGGACTTGTGCTTCAACTGCCAAAACCAGTATAATGGAAGTAAGTGCCTTCCTCCAAAGCTGTGCTGCGGTGGTTAAATGAGATAGCGGGGAAGGCACACTGCCTGGCGTGCAGGCTGTTCCGTAAATGTGCATTTTCCTCTGCTTCCCTGCCTCCACCTCACCTGTTCGCCCCGCCTTGGCTGGAGCAAGCAGTGAGGCTCGGGGTAATGGGAAGGAACCGGCTCTCCCAGAAGAGAGTCCTTCCCAAGAGACCGTCAGAGGCTCGGCAGCCCCAGGGAAAGGACCAACTGCCAAGGGAGCCTCAAGCCTCAGCCCAGCATCCCCCTCCCAAGCTAAGCAAAACACTGGGAGGCTTGGATCAGGAGAGACAACCCAGTTCCTTAGCAACTAACAAGCATTTCCCTGTAAAGACAAAGACCCTTCAGTCAGCACGCTCCCTCCCCAGCCTCCCCAGGTGTCTGATGGGCTTCGCAGGAGTGGGGCTGGGGGCTGCCACCCCCCAGGACTTCTAGGGGCCTCTCACCCCACCCTCCCAGCTGTCCTGATATTACCTGCAATTATCCCAGAACACCTTTCATCTTGGTGCTAATTAACTTTTCCATTTACCCCCAGGAGCTGCTGAAAGACACGTGAGATGCGTACGCACGCGCGCGCACACACACAAATATGACCATATTTTCCCTTCCGGAACTTTCTCTCCATTTTAGAGACCAGGAAACTAAGGTTAGAGAAAGCCGATTCCTCGAGGGGTTTCTGTCTGCCTGCTCCTCAGCACCGGGAGGGAGAGCAGGCGCAGAAGAGGATGGTTCCGGGGGAGGGAGGACAGGTCCCTGGGTGTCTTAGGGGATGAAGGACAGGAAGGGGGAAGACTTCTGAAAGGACCAAGGAAACCCTGCCAGGACAGGGATCTCAGCTCCAAGCGCCACCAGACATAAGTCGTCCTGCTTAACACAGAACATTTTAAGGGGAAAAAAAGGAAATGCTTCAATAGTAAAAGAAAGGAAAGAGAAAGAGAAGGAAATAGAAAAGTATGACAGTGTGGTCTGAAAAGAACCGCGGACTGGTAGTTGAGATCTGAATCTCACACCAGCTCCAGCATCTGCTGTGCAAGCCTGGGATAGTCAGCCACCCTCTCTGGACCTCAGTTTCCTCATCTATAAAATAGTTTGGGATGAGTGTTCTCTGAGACCCCCTCCAGCTGAATGTTGTGTGATTCTATACGGTTATCTTGGGAGTGGCAAAGAAAGCTGCCACCACCGTCCCTTTGGCCGGGAGTGAGTGGAAGCCACCAGCACGCGGTAGAATGAGCATTCGCGGAATTAAGAACGAAGAGCCAAGTGCATTCAACTACAGAGCCAGAAAACCCTACTTAGTGGGAGGCCCCGGTTGAAGAGGAGTTTATAGTCGTGGGAGCTGAAGACCTGGGAGTTCCCCGAAGCAGCAGCCAGCTCAGCCCCAGATCCAGGCCGGAGGAAGCCAGTGCAGGGACCCTCAGCACCCCGTGCAGGGGCATGGAGGAGCCCACAGGGCCTGTGTCTGCACTCAGGGACAGAGAGCAGGACACACAAGCACCCCCTTTTCCC